CACTGCCCTCAAAACACTCATGCCTGTGGATGAAATTGTATGCTTACTTTATCTGGCAATGATCACATGCCCCACCCGGTTTCCCTTTGTGCCCTCGTTTCCAGGAAGCTCAGTACTAAATTTAGTGCTCAACTATAGCCATTCTCACACAATTCAATATACACAGATATCTTTCTGCCTTCAAAAGAGAACTTTTCCCTCTGTGAGCTGCTGTACTTACTTTTCCCCCAATGATCAAATAGTACATGTTCATTACAGAACATATGGAAAGTACAGGAAGATATAAAGCAGCAAGAAAAATAATTTCAAATGGCTTCTGATCACTTTTTAAAAATCTGATTTAGCTGTCTGGGCCTATCCCTGCTTTAATGCATCCATCCCTGGCATACAATTTATTTTCGGAGGCAGGGAACTCCTGGCTAGCCAGGCCTCAGACGAGGCGGTGCTACAGGCACGTTTCTGTGTAGCAGAGCGAGGAGAGAAAGGAGGCACAGAACACAAAGGCTGAATGTGTTTGGAATAACAGATGCTGGAGCTAGAAAGGATGTTTAGGATCATCTGGTCAAATCCCTCCATGTTTAGGGAGCCCCATCTCCCCAGGCCAGGCTCCTGGTGGCCGCGCTAATGTTCACCTCCAGAGGAGCACGGCTCATCTGACCGGCCTAAGTGCCAGGACTTTCACTGGGTCACGTTTACTGGTGGATGGAGCAGCCAAGTGTCAACAGACACACGCCCCCACCTCCCTCTCTCTTCACTTCCCTTCTACAGAGTGCCAGCTGGGTCCCCTCCGAGCCTGCCTCTGGCAAGTCCTACCCGCTCCCTCAGTGCTCCTACATGTGTGCCTAGAGCCCCTCAATCCTGTAGTTAGGCAGGGATAGTAAAGTGTCAGAATTCAGATTTAAGGGGTGGAGGGAGGAGGTATACCGGAGTGCTGGTTAGGGGGTTAGCAGCTAGTAGCCCAGATTGGAAAGTAAAAGCAGAATTTTGTTTCCCATATGGCTTCAGGTCTCTGTGCACGTCCCCCTCTCAGCTTCCCCGCAGGGAGGAGCGGAGGCTGGCAGGCTAGATCTAGACAGTCCTGGGTGCCTGGCTATTCCCTCATTTAACAGCACTTAGGGCCCTAGCGTCTAGTATCTCAGAGGGAGGTGGGCCTCTACCTAGCACAGAACACCCAGTTCAGTAAAAAGGAAGAGGAATGCTCAGTGAGAGACTCAAGGAGTAGGAAAGATATGGTGGAACTCTTCAACAATTAAAAGTAAGACGTTCTTTTTTTTTTAAGATTTTATTTTTAGGTAATCTGTACACTCAACGTGGGGCTCAAATTTATATGCTGAGATCAAGAGTCACATGCTTTACTGACTGAAACCAGCCAGGTGCCCCTAAAAGCATAAGGTTCTAAAAGGATGAATGCTCAAGGAATCTGAAGGCCAACTATTTTTTAATGTTGAAAAATCCAGGTGACTACAGGGTCAAGTCCGGTAAAATTGGAAACAGGCTGATTTTCAAATAAACCACAATAGTGGGTTGAATTTAAATTATAAATATTAAATGACCTTGACCAGAATCAAAGTGTAGCTTCCTAGAAAATGCTTCCTTTCCACCATTTAGTAAAGTTGGTTGTAAATCACTGAACCACAGACCTTTGCAGCTGGAAAGGCTTGTAGCTTTTATCCAATCTGACCAATGTTTAAGAATAATCTTAAAAGGAATCTCCCAAAAACATGAATCATAAATTATATACATACCTAGTCAGCAGAAACTGTATACAGAGTATATAGAGGAGGAATTGGCTGCTTTAAATAGGCATTACAGAAAGGACCTCCAGGTTCCGTTTTTGCTCTGGTGACATAAACCCAAACCCCCTAGTACCTCTAAAAAACCTGTGACCTACAACCATTTTGAAATGGCAACTTTGAAGGCCGTCTAACCTCTATTTCCAAGAATATTTCCAGCCCTCTCTGTGCTGCTTCCTAAGGCATGCACAGACTCTGAATAAAACCTCAGAGAAGAGAAGAGAAAAGGCAGGCAGTTTCCAGCATTCTCTTTGGTCGGTAGCTGGATGAGCCCTGTGATACTGGGGCACATGCTAATTGCCATTACTCACCAACTGTACCTTGTCCTGGGATGGCAGGGAACCCAAGAGAAGTAACCAATATAGCCTGTGTCCTCAAGAGGGTTACACACTGAGTACCAGATAGGTATTGGAGAACTAATGCGACAAGGTGGATAGCGTGGAGGATGAGAAGGTTGAAAACAGTTCCAGGCTAGACATGGAACTGCCAGAGAGGGGCCTTACGATGACTAGGAGCTGAAAAGGCAAGGAGGCGTGTTCTCCACCGCTGCAGCTTTGCCAACACCTGCACTGTCTGGGTTTCTTTTCTATGACGCCTAGCAAAATGTTTATCTGTGTTATCTTTGCCATTGCAAGAAACAAGTTGGCCATAACGAAGAAACACAAATCTAACTCCTAATCAAATGACTCAGTGCTCACCAGTTCACTCACCCCAGAGCGTGGCCTCTGGTGCAAAGGATACACACCAACAACACTTAGTCCCTGTTGGATGCGTGTACGTGCGTGTGTGCAGGGGGTGAGGGGACAAGCAGGGGTTGGTGGACACAAAGGCCCAGAGCAGCCACCTGACCAACTCCTATTTTCCTTCCTATGCAGTTAAAGAGAACATATTTTAAAGACGAACTTCAGGGGCACCTGGGTGGCTCAGTCCACCCAGTCAGTTAAGTGTCTGACTTTGGATCGGGTCATGATCTCACAGTTTATAAGTTTGAGCCCCGCATCGGGCTCTGTGCTGACAGCTCAAAGCCTGGAGCCTGCTTCGGATTCTGTGTCTCCCTCTCTCTCTGCCCCTTCCTCTCTCTCTCTCTCTCTCTCTCTCTCTCTCTCTCTCTCTCTCTCAAATACGAATAAACATTAACAAAAATTTAAAGACAAACTTCAGTATGAAGGTAAATTGTGCGGATGGTACTTTTCCCCCAAATACTTTGCGTTTGTCTTTAATGTCTCCTCGCCTTGGCCCCTGTGACAGGTATGTTACTAGCAAGCTGTACGCATCTATTACTTCTATTCTGAATGATTTCAGCAGGTGAGACTGGGATAGGAGCACTCACATCCGGGGTGGTCTGAGGGAGGGGAATGAGCCGGTGTCCTGGAGAGCGCTGGTCCTGAAAAATTTCTCTTCCTAGAGAGCGTGGTCTCCTCTTCCATCTCTAAAGCAGGAAGAGGGTCCTGGCTGGAAACCCAAGTGGCAGCCAGTTGGGTGTGCACAGTCACGTCTTCGGGGAGCCGCTTTCCTCTTGCCAGGGACCCTTGGGATGTTCCGCTCTCAGTGTGAGAAGGGGCAGTTCTTCCTTCTGACCCTGAACTGGATGGCGAGCGAAGTGTCCCCAATGCTGAAAGCAGACACCAACAATTAAAATTCCACCAGCAGACTTCAAAATGTCTGAATAATGTTTGAGTGGGCTCACCTCTGACCTCCATGAAAACAAATTAAGAGCAATTATTCATTCTATGAAAAATTAACTCCTGAGTGAGAGATCACAAACCAAGACAAAGACTGTTTTCAGATCTCACAAACAAAGGCTGCATTTTGTGGTGAAGTTACTCTAAAAGGGGCACAATGAAGCTAAGTATCAGATGATATGGGATCAAAGATAGGACTCTGATCACCATGATTCATCACTCACATTCCATAACGCTGGCCCCAGAATTATTTACTTGAGTTCAACATAAACAAAATTTCCAAAACCTGGATGACCAACGAACTCAGGCAGCATCAGGCGCAGATCTAAGCTCTGTGTCCATCATGTCATGAAGGGAACATAAAATACTGTCATTCGTACTCTATAGAATTGAGTCCTTCAACCCGACCCCCTGCAACAAGCTCATGAAAGCAGGGGGCCATCTTTGATGGCGTCATCTTCTACTTTTAGGCTGTTATCAAGTTCATATCAATTTTCCTTTGTGAAGAGTCTTTACCAATTGCTTCCTCTCTACCCCTGAGGCCACCAGGCCATGGGTCTTAGCACCAGGCATCTGGACTTCTATGTCCGCCTGGGTGGTCCCCCTGACGCCAGGTTCACTCTGCCCCATCTCCCACCCCAGACATCTTATACCTGCCTGCCAGGTGAATCCCCCCCAAATTCGCTTTAATCATGTCACTGTCTTGTTCAAAAACCTTCGGTGACTCTTCCTACAACACCAAATCTAAACTGCCTGGTTTTCTAAGTCCTCTGTGACTCCTCCTCGCCCCATGCACACAACTATCCTCTCCTCCATGTGTGACTTACATCCTCCCCCATGGGAAGCTGCCAGCCTTCCCACTCCACAAAAAGACCACACTTCTGTCCTTTTCCTCACATGGTCTGTGCATCCCACTCCTAAGCTATCCCTCCCACCATGCTCAGACATACAGACTTAGGCTCAAATCCCAGCTTTAAAACCTATTAGCTGTTTGACCTATACACCTCTGATTAATTACCATCTCTACCTTCAGTTTCCAAATTCCTAAAATGAGAATAATGTGACCTCATTGGCTTGCGGTGAGAATTGAGAGAATAGATATGTCGGTATACAGTAGGTACCTAAGCGGTGCCAGTTTTCTGTGTCTTCCCTTCCTCAGTCAAATCTTACACATCCAGCCCTAGCCATTTCTTGAAACTTTTTGCTAGAAGTGGCAAGCCACCGAGGTGTGCAGATTCAAGCAGGAACCGCCATTTGGGCAGCCACGCAGCCTACCAGACCAGATCCGGTCTCTCTGAGGCTGTGGTGTGGGGCATGATCAGCGGGTGTCCTTTGGACTCAGTCTGGCCATGGAATGTCAATTCCCAGGACTGCTCGGGGCTGTAGGCAAATCTGCACCCTCAGCTGGTCTATGCTGATAACTCACTTAATCACAGCATGCCATAGATGGAGCCTGAGCCACAGGGGTGAGCTACCCCAGCCCAGGACCCTTGGATGGGCGCTCAGGATGGGGAAGAGGGAGACTGGCAGAAACTTCATCTTCCAGGACCGGACATACATGAATGAAATGAGTATCGTTGGCACAAACTCACCTCTGGTGAGGCTCTGGGAAGTCAGAGCTGTTGCTGTGTCAGACCCAACAGGGGAAATGGTGAAATTTGTTTTCCTGGAAGAGTCATTTCTTCCTCTAGCATCTGCTGCTTCAGTTTGTGGAATGAAGTTTTCTGGAGCATCTGAAGAAGTGTGGCTCTTTCTGGGGGTCGGAGTCATCACGCCCTCCTTGGAGACCACCGTTGAAAAGTCCATTTGGTTCTGATCAATGGTGATGTTTTCTATGTGGGGTTTGGTGCTACTTTCTGGCCAGTGGTTCCTTACCACAGCTGAAACAATAAGAAAATGGATCAGTAAGAGCCTGCTGGTTCTCTGTCTGCCATGAGCAGATACTCAGTAAAGAAGTGGATTCAGGTAGAATAATTTCACCTTTCTTTTTTCCGCACAGTAATTATTCTTACAATGCAGTGGGAGAAATTATGTAGCAACAATACTATGTAGTATTGAATTTTACAGTAAGTGGAATAAATGATGAAAATGGACAGAAAGAGACCAATACAGGGCTCAGGGGAGAGGACCTGAAGCTCTGGGATCCAGGCAGGCTCCGGGAGGGGCGCAGGGGACACAGGTCAGGTGAGAGCAGGGGGAAGGAAGCACTCGCATGCATCAAGGTTGTGAATTGTGTCTTCTGCATGGTAGGAGGGTAAAAGCTGGCAGCTCTCGATCCTGACACCTACTCTTGCAGGCAGGGGGTGGGAGGTGGGACATGCCTAATTCTGGAAAAACATGTGAAGGATTTGGCAATATTACCAAAACCTTCGTAATGTAAATAGGTTTGATGCAGTGCTTTTGTTTTCTTTGAATTTATCCTAAGGAAATACTCAAGAATGTGGACAAAAATTTAGCTGCACTGACAGTCATGATGTCATTGTTTATAATAGCAAAAAAGAAAGGAAGGAAGAATAGAAGGAAGGAAGGAACAAACAAAACTGAAAACCCTACAGCCGCAGATCAATTAAACCAGTTGCATTATGTCCATATGAAAGGACATGATGAGGTATTAAAATGTTATAAAAATAAAGACGTTTTACAGGTATTATTGAGTTAAAACAACAGGTTTCAGGGGCCCCTGGGTGGCTGGGTTGCTTAACTGCCTGACTTCAGCTCAGGTCATGATCTCGCAATTTGTGGACTCAAGCCCCACATTGGGCTCTCTACTGTCAGTGTGGAGCCCGCTTTGGAGCCTCTGTCTCCCTTTCTCTGCCCCTTCCCTGCTGTCACTCTCTCTCAAAAATAAAACATTAAAAAAATTTTTTTTAAGTTTCAAAATAGAATTGAGAGTATAGTCTCATTTTGTTAAAAAAAAACAGCAATCATGCATGTGTGTGCATGCCAACCACGGATATATGTTCTCGACATGTCCTCATTTGTTCAATCCTTGCGCAATGTCGAGGTAGGTGCTCTTCTCCAACTCTGCCCGGGAGGCAGAGGAGGTGCGGGGCGGAGGCTCATATTCCTTGCCCAAGTCACCAGACAGCCTGCTCCCCGCCCAAGCCCCTGAGCATTCAGCTGTGCCCAGTGCTCAGGACAAAGCGCGTGGTAACAAATCCTCCTGTTCCCCCTCGCTTCCGGCGCAGGGGTGTTGAGGAAAGGTTGCTTATTAGTACGGACTGTTATTTGACATTTATAAATTAGGGGATGGATTTAGATTAGTCGGGAAATATACTGAAGTGATCATTTTCTGCCATATTGCCCAACATGATGGCAGAGAGGGCATGAGTTACAAACATCACGATCAGGTGAAAGTTGAGGGGAAACCGGGCGCAGAAGCAACCATCTGTGGAAGTAGGTATCATTTATCAAGGCAGGGGGTTCAGAGTCAGGGCAGGTTTGTGGGACGCCCAAGTCCAACCCAAGGAGGGTGCCTTGTTACTCTGAAGATGTGTGCACACGACACAGCCACGGCTTGGAAGAGGGAGCCCCACCACTGCTGGGGTGTCAGCTTCTGAAACCAAGACTAAAACACAGACCACATTTTAAGAGCCACTTCCCTGGATATCCAAGCTAATGTGGAAGTGAATATGAAATACATGTGCTAATTGGAGGGCACAGAGTTTAATGAGTTTCTGGAGAAAGCAATGAGGACAAGGACCATTTAAAGTTATTGCTGATTACATGGGTCCCTTAAAAACCTATTTTTATTTTCCTCATTTGGGAAGGATATTTTTTGTTCTGCTTAGGATCAGGGGCTGTGAGCACTGCTGAGAGACCTCGGTGGGAATGAATGAAGTCACTTCTATCTGTATGAGTCAGGCAAAACATGGCCAGCCATCTGACTAGTAGCGGCTGCAGGCAGAACCTATGGTTCAGCTCAAAATATCACACTTTCCCAAAAGGAACGAGTTATCTTCTAGATCAGCACTAAGAGATGTATAAAGTAAGACACAAATGCAAACCACATATGTAAGTTTACTTTAAAAAGTAACAGATGAGGGGTGCCTGGGTGGCTCAGTCAGTTGGGCAACTGACTTCATTTCGGCTCAGGTCATGTGATCTTACAGTTCATGACTTCAAGCCCCACGCTGGGCTCTGCATTGACAGCTTGGAGCCTGCTTGGGATTCTGATTCTCTCTCTCTCCCTGTCTCTCTCCCCTCCCCCTACTCATGCTCGCTCTCTCTCTCTCTCTCTCTCTCTCTCTCAAAATAAATAAATAAACTTAAAAGTAACAGAGGAAATTAATTTTAATAAATACTTTACATACTCTGACACATTCAAAATAGTAGCATTTCAATATGTAATTGATATAAAAATTGAGATACTTTGCATTCTTCTTTTGGTATTACACCTGTAAATTCCAGAGTATGATACTAGCTGTACTTCAAGAGCACAACAGCCACATGTGGCTAGTGGCTACAACACTGGACAATGCAGTTCTAGGTCAATGGTTCTCCACATTTCCTCCACTCTGGTCCACTCCCACCAGAAGTATGGCTCATTTATTGGGGTTGGAGGGGTAGTGATTTTTAAATCTTCCATAAGAGATTCTGACAAACTTTCCTAAAGGAACACTTTTCTCCCCAAATCCCTTGAGAATCACTGCTTTCATGCTTCCTATTCTGTTTCCCGTAATTGATAATTAACAGAAACTTCCTGGAGAGGGGAGGGACGTTGCCAAGCATCTGGGTTCCTCTGGGGTCCAGCCCCAGACAGGCAAGGACCACATTCACCTGAAAATGGGATTTGGAGGGGTGTTTCCAGGGGCAGCCACTAAGTCCACAATTTCAACTTGAGACCAGAGACCCACACAACATGTTCCCTTTGTTCTTTCTATTTGAGCTGCAAGGCAAATTGGCCTCTCCAGATAAGGTGAGAGGGTCTGAGGATGCTCTCTCTTTCCTCCTGGTCATTTGGGCACAATGAAGAGAGACTGTTCTTAAAAGAAGCCAGAAAAAAAGTGATTGTGGGGAGGTAGAGGTGACCCAAAACCAATGCCTGGAAGCTGGTAAGCCATGAGCAAAGGAAGAAAATGAATTTTGCTCTATTATAGCCTTAAGATGAGTGTGACACTTGGCTATTGTTGAGCCTCTGAGGAAGCCCATGGCTGAGGAAGCAGCAACATGCCCTTCTTCACAGAACTGGGAATGTCCCTAGGAGTTCCACTGCAGTCTTTAGAAGGTATGGAATGGCCACATAAAGACAAGACATGAGTCACACTGAACCATGCTGTCTCCCTGGAGGGGTGACAAAAGATGGAAGAAGGAAAAAGAAAATGTACCCTATAAACAAAACAAAAAAGGCAGACCATAGTCTTGCATTGTCCCAAATCATCCTACCACTATAAACGAAATATACTAAATAAAATATGTTTTACAAAATATTTCTAAATGCATTGCTGAGTTGGCAAGTAAGTAAAGAATCACATCTTCTAAGGCCAAACATGAACCAAGAGCTGGAATACAGAGAAGTGAGCTAATTCTCGGCAGTTAGAAGCTGCCCTGGGGCACCTGCTCAACTTTTGTGAGCTTGAACTTCTGGTCTGATTATTAGGAGGATGTAGGAGATAGGAGACAAAACTCTTAAGGAGAGAGTCTGAGAGGAAACTCAGACTGTATGAAGCTGGGACTAGGGCTATACTATGCGTGTCAGACACATAGGGGAAAAAAATCTGCCCTGCAGAAGGGGGCCAGCAGGGAAAAGTGGCCTTTGATCTTGGTTTTAGATGAAGGAAAATAAATCTCACTCAAGAATTTGTAACCAGAAAGGTAGCCCTCATGTGGGTATGCAGCACAAACTCACAATACTTGTATGGTCTAAACCTCAAGCCAAGGATATATTTTAAAAGTGGTCTTGAACTTTGTGAATATACTAAAACCACTAAATTATATACTTTAAGAGGGTGCATTTTATGGTATGTAAGTCATATCTCAAATACACATGCACATATGTGCACCCACATATACCCCATTAGTGTGAAGGAAAAGTGGTTCGGATACACGGTGCCTCTTGCTTTGCAGAAATAAATGTGAATGCTCTCTAAATGAACATACCTTCAATCCGATTTTATCATTCATTGATAAAATTCTAAGGAATAAGAGATCACTGTCACAAAGCACAAAATATAAAAGGAAAAAAGGCATCAGTGGGTAAAAGTCAGCAACCTAGATAGGCAAAGCCTTCAAATGCTGGAAATATCAGTCAAAGAACGTAAGTATATAAAATACATAAAAAGAAATAAGAAACTAAAAATGAGAGAAAGAGAGACTATAAATAATGGCCAAAAGAAGTGAAAGAACTCTAAATGGAAATTCTAAAAATGAATAAAATATAATGATTGAAACTAGGAAACTTGACAGATTTAGATACGACTGAAAAAAGAACTAATAATTACAAGACAGATGATGAGAGAACACCCAGATGATATAAAAAGATAGAAAATATGAAAAAGAGAGGAAGAGACAAGGAAGATAGGAGTGAGAAAGTCCAATATATATATAACTGGAGTTCTAGGCGGAGAAGAGAGAAAAGAGAGAAATGGCGATATTCAAAAAGGTAATGGCTGAGAATTTCCCTCAAACTAAGGAAGCCCAACAAATCCTTAGAAAACAAAATAGTACAGAAATATAAACTCACAAATCATGTATAGAAGACGACAATTAGACTAACAGCTGATTTCTCAACAGCAACAATGGAAGTCCAAAACCAGTGGGTAAATATTGTACATTCAGTAAAACTATCTTTGAAAAATATCTTGAGACTCTCTTTCAAAAAAGAAACATTTTCAGTCAAATTTCAGTTTATCAACCACCTCCACAAAAGCAAGTTAGGGAGAATTTTATGTCAAGCAAGAAAAACAATGCTAGATAAAAGCTAGAAGGGGCAAGAAGATATAATGAGCAAAGAAAATGGTAAATATGTGCATAAATCTAAAGCAACGTTGAATTTATAAAATAATTTCTCATCTGTGGGATTAATAAAATAAGATAGAGCAAACCATGGATAACAATAGCGCAGAAGTCAGGAGGGCATAACCAGAATCATGTTGTGTTGAAGGGTGACTTTAAGCTGTGTAAAAAATGCATTTTCAAGTTCCTCAAGCTGACCCTGAAGAATAGAGAGTGTATCACTTCCAACTGGTAGAGCTTGCAGTAATATGAAATTTCCATTGAGAGAAACTAATTAGTATTGCCTAAAACCAAAACAATGAATCAACAAATAGCAATTTAAGCATGTTACTGAGAGGTATGGACAGGATTACTAAAAGAGCTTG